AATTATGACAGATATCACCCTCTGACCATTTTCATGTAAGGGCTGAGATGATTCATTTCAGCAACAATAACCGAAGAGACTTTAGAGTCTGAGGCCATTATCAGCGGCGCACTCCGAACAGCTTTCTCATGGCTTGGAGACAGGAAACCAACGCCGCCGGCGGGGGCGCCAGAGAGTCCAGCAGCAAGCCCGCTGCTCCGCTTCCGCGAGGAAGCAATGTTTCCCCCTTCCCTGCCCACCCCAGAGTTTCTGCTCCTGGTCGCGCTCCTCAGCGCAGGATGTAAGGCAATTCCTTCCTGGATCCATTTCAGTTCCTTCCCATTCAATAAGGACCTGGCTCTTCGGCCACCCCTTTTGGATAGTGGAAATTACACAATTATAATGTTTTAGAAAGTTAAGTCCTATCCTTTCACTTTCCAGACAACTCTCAGTGGGTCCGACTCTCCCCCTAGAGTGACAGGAGAGAATGACCTTACCAAGCATTCCTATCCTCATACAAGGCCCACCTCCTAGATTAGTTACTACCTCTGCTTGGCTGTCAGTATTTTCTATGCTCACAGAAAATATTGTGCCTAGAAAAATATCTCTCTAGGCACAGAGAGCGTAAAGCTAGTTTCCAGTTTCAACCAAGAAAGATGGTTACAGGTTGGAAACAGAAGAGATGTACTCTAAATTACTAAAACACACACACATGCAAAATAGTTAAAAGGCAGTTTTTTTTTTTTTTCATTTCAAGTAATCAGGTTAAATCTCTCTCTCTCAACATTTTTTATACGAAAAGGTGATGATTTCCTTTTAGTGAATAATACCAAGGTACCAGGGACTTTGTTTCTGCTTCAGTCTTGCCAAGCAGGCCTCATGTGTCCCATATGCTACATGAACAAATGGAAGTGATGGGGAATTAACAAAATCGCTGTGGTCACATGATGGTCATTTGTTTGTGACTGAACTGGTATTACTACAGTCTTGCAGAAACTAGGAAGCAGAGAAGGGTTGAGAGTCTTGGCTGCAGACACATTTTTCAGTTATTTGCTTAGACCCAGAAGCTAAACCCCAGGACGGGTTGCTCAGGTGGTAAATTGCATATTTACAGAGGTAAGTTTTGGAGAAGTGAGATTTAGATGCACCACCACATTTAGACTTTGTTTTCTGGACCTTTTCTTTTAATCCAGATTTTGCACGTTTCTCTGATCTGCAGAATCCCAAGGAGGCTCGTGTGTCTCAGTGGTACAGTCATCATGAGCACACAGCACTCTCCTGCCTGCTCTCTGATGCGTTCCACCATCCTCTAGCGTAGACCTCTCCTTTAGTTTTAATCTGACAAGGGGTCCAAAGCTCCTCTGAGTTCAAAACATCTCCCTATCGGGGTCCAAAGCTCCTCTGAGTTCAAAACATCTCCCTATCTATAGCTTCCCGCATCATATCTGACAAATCATGCAGACATTGTGATCATTATCACTGTGAAATGATATTCTTCTTGGATCAATATTTACATCCTTGTCTTATAATATGAATACATTTTTCATATATAAACTCTCTTAGCTGTATACACTCTCCCACCTCTTCATCGCTGGGAAAAAAAACCCCACTAAAAATGAAGTCACATGTAGTTCCAGATGAAGTCGATAATTATAATAGTAATTAAAAACGAAGGAGTCCAGTTGTTAAGGGTGTTTCACGGAGCTTAAGCAGATAGCAACAGCATGGACTTGCATCATGATGGCATGCTGTATCATTTCATCTTTCCCAAACTCTACCTGTGATTACGTGGAAATTTCAGGGTTAGAGAAAGATTTTAATCTTCACAAAGGAAATATGAAATAAATGCTGAACAAAGTTAAATAAGCACCGAAGTGAAAATAAAAAGACAAACCATTAATACCAACTAGCTGTTTCCAGTGGGATTTCTAAATTCATCTTTGGTGCCATGCCATTTGATAATTTCCTAAAATTCTTACAACGCTAGTATATCTAAGTAAATTTAAAATAAATATATAAAACTGCATAATTTAAAAGTGTTAGTGCCATTATTCCCATAAGCCAGATAAAAGAAAGAGGATCACAGATACGACTGCAATGTCCTGACCGTGAATGAATTTGGCAGAGTTCAATAGCAATTTCAACATAACTGTGTGCTTCGTTGACTTAAGAGAGTGGTCATCTGAGTATAAACCTTAATCTTCTTTCTCTAAAAAAATGAAAAAAAAATGCTGTATTTATAACAAAAAGACCTTTGGACACTCATTTTTAAAAATCGCATTTTAAAGAAATGAGTATTTGAAGCTTGTAAACAATGCTGAAGTCTTGATTCTGTCACATATTCACATGGCATCTACTTATTTTCTAACAGTTCTTTGATGATTAAATTAAGCCAGATGACAGCAGCACTGGGATTTCCATCAAAGTGGTATACATATTAACCAGCAAAATGCTAAGAAAACCCTGCTAATGCAGAGCATGGATATTTTCTTATCAATAAATACTAGAACTTCATGTGGGGATTTTAGCTGATGGCTTTAGAAAGGTATAAAAAAAACTGCAAAAATAACACGATAGCTTTTTACTTGCCTATTGAGTTTATGAGCAAGAAAAAGTTAAACAATTATGCATAGTCCCTGAATTTCAGAGAGTTGCCATGCCCCTCCTTCATTCTCTGTCCACCCATGGCTGGATTTTTTCTATGTGAGGGTGATGAAATCACCTGAAAGCAACTGATGGAACCATCAGATGACAGCTGGGCCTTCTAATTTCCATGTGAAGGCATATCATATTTGAACTTGGACGATCGTAAGACTTTTAGAAATTGATGTTCCGTTGTTTTCTAAAGATGTGGAAACAGTTTACCTCAATTATTGGTGCTGATTTTCCATTGCAATCAGATCAAATTATGTCAACATGCATTTTTAGTTTTTCCTTTAAGGTGTGATGCTATGGATTAGATGGTCCTAAAGTGAGTATTGGATATTGACAACTGGAAGAAAATCTGCAAAATATGTGAGATCATTCCTCTGCTTTGCATTTCCCTAGAGATGATCCTCACTCTGATCACATTTAGTGCATGATAAAGAAGCAATTCACAATAAAGGAAATGTAAAAGAATGTGTATCCATTATTAAAAATCCCAGCACTACATCCATCTTACGTTGAAAAGTCAGAGTTCTTTCGGAAGTCTCTATCACAAACACTGATTTCCTATCTTGTGTGGGTATTAGGAGGTTGATCTGGGTTTACCTAGGTAGATTAGCTTTGTGAATATGTCGCAGTGAAAAAAACTTGCAGAAAAAAAAGACTGTGTATTACATGAAGTTATTCTGCATAGAATCACATGCTGTGTAATCAAAGAAACCTCTACAAAATTTGCCGAAATATTTGAAATAAAACGTGACGCAGTTGTTTTCCTGTTAAAAATCTTATATCCTTCCTTTCAGCTGAAACCGAATTTCATTTTTACTTATATTAAAACCAATCTTACTATTCACAGAAATGATGCTGTCAACAAAATCTTAATATTTTGTGTGTTATCCACAACACATTTTTAATGTAAGAAGTGCACCATTTTAAAATGGTGTGAAATGTAATAGATTGATAAAAGGCCTGTTTCTTAAAGGGCTAATCACTATTGGAACCCTCTTCCCTTTGACTGCAGAAAATGAAATATTTTCTGCTGCTAGATAAAAGAACTGCAACATATTAATAGTTTTAAAATGTTGTATAAATTTATGACTGAGGGATAATTATGACCTTGTACCTTGAGTGAGATAATTCTGGGTGAATTCTTGGCCTTTAAATAAGTCACAGATGCAATTTTATCCTAATAGATATCACTTGGTTACAGAACTTCAAAAAATCCCATATAACCTTTGGCATGGACATTGCATATTAGGTAGGGGTTATAAAAAACTGCCAGGAGAAATTTTCTCAAGAAAAGTATGTAGAGGAATTTAAAATATTGATCTACTGTGGCTGCCGACCATGGTTAACAGTCCTTCCACCTGCCGATAATGAAGATCGCTACTGGCAGCAAAAGATGAACATATCACAATGCTAAGGACTCAGTTTGAAGGTAGAGTCAGTTTGGTGTTTTATAAGTCAGTTCCTTTTGTTTTCTCAATATCCCCTCAATTGTCCCAATGGAATTCTTTCAATTCATGCTTTGTTTTACCTCTGTAGCTATTTCCCAGGGCACAGATACCTCCCAGTAATTTTAGAGAAAGGTACCTTCAGAATGCTAGATGGGCATTTCATGACTTACAAAAACACAATATCACCAGATTACAGAGGATTTTGAAACCACAAGCTAACACTGCTGCCAAACATTAAAAACTGCAGAGTAAACTTGAAACTCTGTCTCAAGTACTTTATTTTTAATCAAACAGATGATACTAATGTATGCAGTTTAAATACTGTGTATCTTAGCTCCCATCTCATCTTCATAGAAATGAAAGGGCTGTGATGTAAATACAAATAATACGTAACTCTGAACATCCAGAGCCAAGTTTAATCAAAGATGAGCAAAATTAATTTAGATTGTAAGACTCTGATCCACTGAAAAAAATCAATTTATCAGCACTTGGCATAAATATACATTAAAGGAAACCAACCTCAGAAGCAAAGATAACCTGAGAAAAGCAAATCCAGTCACAGATAAGTCTTGCTAATATTCTTTTTCTACCTTCAACAGTCCTTCCGCAGTGGCTTCTATGACTGTTTGAAATCATTAAGCATATTTAACTTTCAATGTTAGAATGAAAAATGAAAGAAAGCAAAGTCAGAAATGTAAAGACTATGGAAGCACCAATTAAAAAAAAAATGAAGGTCGTTTGTCTGAAGACAGGAAGTATGGATTTGATAAGTTCATCATCACGGACTTAAAATATGTTCAGAACTTGGCTGGTGACATACGGCATTTTTGAAGAAGCCAGCTCTTTCCCTGATTAGAGAGTCACAGATGTCTCAGCATGCACCACTGTGTGTACCAGTCAGACCATGCCAGTACTTACCATTTGAAGAGATGGTTTTCAGTGTCCTCATCACCTTTAAGCCCCAGAGTCTTTCCTAACCTTGTCATGAAGCAGATCTGAATTAAACTAACGTATATACAAAGGGTTCATTTGCGATTTTCAACCTTACAGACTTCAAACTGTCTCCCCATACTAATGAGGATTTTCAGTCCTATCCACTTCTGGCTATATGGTATATTGTGTCTTTACCGGCTGACTCACTCCACATTCTACTCATGCAGTTTATCATTATCTTGTCCACAGACAAAATCCACATTGAATTCAGATGAGAATGCCCATTGCCTAGAGAATCTGGAGAAAAGTAGCAGCACTGTGGTTCAAATAATATTTCTCCAGGAAGAGAAGCACTATGGTCAATGTAGATTACTTTCTCCCTCTCAAAGTAGAAGGTGGGAAACACAAGGAACTGCAGCAAATTATACTAACTCTCTGCAATGTATTTTTCTTGTGTTTTTTTTTTGGGGGGGGTTACTTCTTATAAAAATTGACAAGATTCAGGACAACTTTGGACACTGTTCTAACAGCTTCATTTAACAATAATTATGACTCATTTCTCCACTTTATACAAACTTCTCACTTTCTCTTTCATTACTTTTCAAACAACCTAGGCATTTTTCTAATTAGCTTCACTCTGCACAAAGAAATAACCCAACTGCAGTACGTTGTTAATGTGAAAGTGAACGACAGGGACTTTTCTGATTGAACATTCTCACTTCCTACCTCAAGACAGGCGTTCTGCATATATGCAAATACTGCAGACAGATGGCTTTGTATATCTTACGCACTATAACATTAAGACATGTCCCCCCTCATTATAAAATCCTGAAAATTATCAGCGCTGCCTCTGACATCTACATTTAAGAAATAGTTAACCTTTGGTAACATTATCTATTGTGCTTATCTCAAAGTAAGGAGGGAAAAACAGCTTAAATTATCTATCAAGTTCAGCCAAAACTTCCTACTTCACTTCATTGTCACAATCCTTGATCTAGACTCCAAGTTTATAAAAGAAAATGAAAAACAAATTCACAAGGCAGAGCTTCAAGTCATCAGCCTACCTTAGAAGGATTTAGTTATTTTATGCCCGGAACATTTTACAAGCTCCAAACCCTTCCCCAGTATAATATTTTAGGAAGCTGACATTATTTCTGCACTTCTTACCACTCAAGCACCTGACAGTCTGGATTAAAAATAGTATATACACAGCAACTCCCTGGTTACTATTTCCCTGAAGTTTTAAGGCACTCAGATTATTGAATCTTCTTTCTAAGAATTACTGGAGAGGTTGATGAAAACACATATCAAACTATTCACAGGTAATTCTCCCACTAAAATCAATTGGCCTCTGTTAGTGCGATTCATTAGGACTAATGAAAATTACCATCTCCAGCAGCCAGTCTGTACCTTTCCAGACATCCTTCTCCAGGATCCATCACCATGCCCAGCTCTGCCTTCCATCCTGCTCCTTGCAGTGCTGAGTGAGGCACTCACTCCTTCATTAAATAGCATTAAAAATAGACCGCACAGAACTCCCCAGTGGAGCATGCTCTAATGGGGCTAGTGCCACAGTTCTCAAGGTAACCACACTCAGTTGGTATCCAAGAAGGAAAGTCACTGGGAGATCAGCAATTTACAAATTTAATAGTGCAGTGCACCCAAACCTATCTCAATCTGAGCTGAATACTGTAAAAGAGAAGTCAGTATGCAGTGAAATGAAGTCACAGAGAAGCTCAAGGTGCATTTCTGGAGTGTGTAAGTTTCTTTAAATACACCTCACTGAAAAAGTACTCTGCTGAATAGACATTCATCCAAAGCAACTTATTTCAAGATTTATTGGACAATATTAATCACAAGCAGTGAGGATAAGTTAAGACATCTCTGTAGAGCAGTCTGAATGTCTTAAAACTGTATTTAAACCAGATTACTTGAGACCCAGTGATAGTACTAATAATCAAGGGTAGTAACAGACTAGCCTTTTTTAAGGAGGAACTGTATTCCTTAAAGAATATTCTAAACTCCCTCTCTGGAGCCTTGAAAAACATTCTGTTCAAGTGATGAAAAGAAGTATAAGAATGTTATTAGAAAGGAAATTCAGGATCAAACACATATACATACCTTAGAAATCCGTATCAACCTGAGATGAGGGCATATGTTATTATCTCCCATGCGATCCTCATTGGGAAAAAGAGAAGCAATCACTGCCAAGATAACCAGACTACTCGGCTACATAGCTAGAGCTCTAGGCTTCCAAATGACTGCCCTCTGCGAAAATGACATTACCTAAAACCTTACAAAGACATGTAAACCCTGTGAAGACAAAACCCAAGCGGTAGGTGCATTTATTTTAAAGTGTCAAAGATTTGCTAACTTTTACCAAATGAAAAGTGATTTCCTGTCAGCCCCATTTCTCCGTTTGCCCAAAACAATCACAGCCATTTTGATCACCAAAGTGGATGAAGAAGAGGTGGGGATAATTCAGATTTCTTCAGTATTTGGCTGAAATCTTGTCCACATCCAGCCTAAACTTTGGAGATCACCATCTTTGTTTGGGGAGGCTGAAGTGTCAAACCAACAGACTTGAAAAAAGTCAGAAATTAAAATGGGTATCTGCATTCCAAACACCATCTCGTGAAAGTGATTTTTACCAGCCTTCCATCCCTCTAACTTTCAATCCTTTCTTTGTCTTTCCAGCTCAGATTCTGTGCTTGCCTGTATCTTCAGGACACTGAACTGACAGCAACCACATCCCCTCCAGCTCCATTTCCATGCATAAACACCCAGAGAATCCATTTCTCTTCTTAGGAAACTTTCTATACACCTGTATCATTCAACTCCCTTCTACCACATCTACATCCCTGAGGCAGAAGATGTTAAATTTGGAGTTTGCAATGATACAGAATTCAGACACATAAAAATGAAACTGAACAGCTTTCCTCTATACCCTGGGGGAGCCGGGATCTCAAGTCCTCTGAGGACAACCAACAGATGACAACTTTCTGCCCCTTGCATAGCTATCTTCCAAAAGAAATATGCACATTCCCAACTTTCTACAGGGAAGCCTTTAAAGATCAACTGTATACTTCTCTGATGAAGAGACCTGCTCTTTTCCATTCTCTTCCTGCTTTTCATTTTTGCCTCATTCTGGGGAGTGGGGAGTCTGCCCCTCCTCCGACAAAGCATGAAAATACAATACATATATAACAGCAGCTTTCTACAAACAGGAAAGCGAGACCTGGACTTAAAGACAAATCGAAAGAAAAGCACAGATGCAAGGCAGGAAGGAAGAGAAAAAAAAGAAAGAAATGACAAAAGGCGTGCAATGTTCACGTCGGAAGACCTTAAAATTATTTTACCTTGACCGAAAAGTGGACGTCCCCCCAGCGTCTCTGTTCCTTGATTGATTTTGGTTTTTGGCTTTTATTAGTATTATTGTTTCTCACGGATGACTTGGCTGTATTTGTTTGCTTTGGCTTATTTTTGTTATTATTTTGGGTCGATTTATTTAACTGCTAATAAAAGGAGCCTTCTGCGGCGTCGGCGGGGCTCCTGGCAGGGCTGTGGCACCCAGGGCTGCGGCCACAGCAGCGGCTTCGGCCGGTGACCCCGAGGTCCCTGCGGCTCCCCGCTGCTCAGATGCGCTCGGGGGGCGCTGCCGCCGCCTTCTCGGCCCCTGGCTGCGGAGAGGGAGCGAGCTCCCGCCTCCTGGCTGCCAGTCCGTCCCCGGGCACGTCTGTCTGTCTGGCCGTCTGTCCCTCGGTCCGGCAGCCCGCCACGGACTTCCCGCCGTCTCGCGATGCGCTCTCCGAGCTGCCCCTCGCGGCGGTCCCTCCGCGACTCTTGGTCCCACTAGTGAGGCAGGGACCCTCCGCTGGTCTTCTGCACCCGCATCTCTCTCGTTCTGCCACTCCGTGCCCCCGGCTGCTTCCCTCGGACAGAGGAGGGTGTCTGCAGGGCGGGCGCGCGCGGCTGCTACTCTCTCCCTCCTCCGTCTGCTTCCCCTGCCGCTCCCTCCCTCTCTCTGCCTGCCGGTCTCCGCGTCTCCAGTTGTCTGACTGCTCCCACCTGTCCGTCGCTCTGTCACTCCCAGTCCCTCCCTGAGCCAGCCAGCCTCGGCGTCCCTGGGTCCCGCGCGCCCAGCTCCCCGCCTCCGCGCGCCCCTGCCCTCCCACGCGCCCGGCTCCTCCCCGTAGCCCCGGCCGCGTCCGGTCCCCGCCCGGGCTGGCGGCAGCGTGCGGGTGGCATGTGGCGTGGCAGCTGCTCAGCCGGCAGACTCCAGCCTCTGACCCGCCACACCCGGGAGATGGCCGCGCTCGGGAGCCTGCGGGGGCCGGGCCTCGGCCACCAGGCGCAGCCGGAGTTGGCCGAGCCGGAGCGCGGGCACCTGCCCGGGGTGCCCGGAGCGCGTGGCGGTGCCATCCGTCCCCGGGCTGGTCTACTCCACCGGCCCCCGGGCTAGAGACAAAGCGCCGGAGCCACGAACGTGTACATCATTCATCAGAGAGAAAACTGGCTCCTTGCCCCCTGCCCCTCCACCATGCGTCCCCGCTCTCGGCCAGCGCGCATCCCTCCCCGCCCCGGGCCAAAGCCCCAAGTACCTCTCCTGGGCGCCTCCCGACTCTGGCGGCGGACACCTGGCCAAGCTGCGCTCACTCCCTTCCTCCAGGGCTCACTCTCCAGGCCAACTCTGCAGAGAATATCCCACAACAATAACACCTCACTCCACCCAAATCCAGCCGAAGCCTCAGCGCTCTCAGACATTCGCGGCTTTGAGCAGGACCCCAAGTCCTCTTGTGCGGCGCCCCGTGGACTCCCCGTGGGCGCCCGCCCAGCCCGCTGCCCACCCGGGCGCTGATTGAGAATCAGAGGTGCCCCAGAAACCCCTGCAGGCTAGGGCGTGGGGCAGGGCGCAGAGTTGACACCCCAAGAAATAAAAGGGCTGCATTTCCTGTTTGTTTGGAGATGTGCTATTTTTATTATCTGTAATTCATTTTCCCCCCATTGTTTCAAGGTACACACTACCAAAAGGAAAAAAAAAAAAAGGAATAGTGGAGGAATGAGAATACATTTCCGGAACACCGCCCACCCCTCCTGACTGAATGTGGAGCCTACTTTTCCAACATCACAGGTCACCAGCCAAGATAGATCACTCTGGCGTTCTGCCCCCAGCTGAGAGCAAGGCATTTGATTCTGGGCTTCCTTGCTAGGCTGTTATTAATGGGAAGCAAAATTATAGTTGTATACGCCTGCATGGAATTACCAAAGCTTATTCTGACAGTATCCAGCAATTCAGCTTCTGAAATGCAGACGCTGAATAACTATGGATCTGGTGCAATGAACGCCCCATCCCACAATAAATTGGAGAAGAGAAAAATCAACTTTTACCAGCTGCAATTAGTAACCCCAATGAAGAGACAACAAATAAATAACTAGTATAAACCGTGTCATGAAAATGTCCACATCCTTTTAGTACCATTTATTGACACCATTCCTGATGGCAGATATTTATTAAGGGATGTGTCTTCCAGTTTTTATAGAAAAGTAATTTCAACAGCAGTAGCCATGTTTATATATGCTAAGATATTGATTAAGATACCAAACATGTTATGTGCACTGCTAGTAAATGCTATGGAAAAAATTAGGATGAAGTTGTACTGGTCTTTGGTGAATAGATAATTATTTCCCAAATATTGGAAATTGTTTCCCTTGGGAATTGGCTAGTTTTGGAATAAGAATAAATCTGCTGTATGAGGCTTCAGCAAATAAAGCCTAAAGAATTTAAGACCCTTATGTTGATCTATTTTTTGAGCATTTCAACTCAAATGTTCCTCTCCAAAAGCATTTTGACAGGCATTTCTCTCCTCCTTCCAGCCATATGGAATTCAAGGGAAAATTCACACACAAGAAAGTATTTCTAATTCTCCTCCCTTCATCTCAAGTCATGTTCGAAAAAAAATCTCCTTTCCTTGGGGGAAATTGTTGTGCCAACTTGCTATGTATTAAATTCACACAGTTAGGACTGCACAGAAAGTCATTCTACTTGACTTTCCTTTTGGACAGAGTGACATCTAAGCACTCTCTGAATGGGTGGGTGAGTAATCTACTAAGAGGAAAACTTTAAGAGCTTGTTCTTAACACAGTCTTCTAGATCTGACTTCACGCTGTAAGTTACACACACACACACACACACACACACACACACACACACGAACTCCTTTCCATAAACTGGATTAGGAATTATAACTACTGAACAGGGGGAAAGGGAATTCAATTAGCATTCTTACTACAAACAGTGATTATGTAAAAGAACAAGACACAGTGTTTCAGTATCTTATCAGTGT